CGTCGTGTGTTTACTCGCGCACGAGCTTTTTCATGAAAAATGTTAAAGTCGAGATCAAACACTTGCGACAATATTCCGGCGATATCATGCGATATTGCAGTATCGGTGTTAATTATAAGAATTTATGATACAGACTCCGCAAATGTTCGTTACCGAGGCAGGGATTACGCGATTTGGCAGATTGCGATAATGCGTTTATTACGGAAAACGGCGAAAAAAAGATGCATATTATTAGCGAAATTATACGCATCGATACGATAACGCAACGTCTATAATATCTAATACGAACGGTGAACACTGAAAGTGGGCTCTGGTAAGAGCCAGAATGAGAGGACGAAGGGAGAGGAAAAAAAGCAAGAGAAAGAGAGAGAACGAATAGGTAGGTAAGGACACATAATAGCAGGATGTTACAACGCCCGTGTCCGGTACATAAGTATCTGGTTTCATAAATGAAAGTGTCTTCATTCATAGATACATATTTCCATACAATCGCGGCTCTATTGGTTTGTATCTTATGATATCGCCGTTATGTGCCGGCAGCCCCGGCGTATATCACATATGTAACACATAGCACCATTATATACAAATTCCTAGTAATGCGGCGCTACTGCTGCATTAATGATAAAGTTGTTTAGATATCGCGATATTGGGGCGAAAAAGGAAGAGCGCGCGCGAAAAATGCTATTCATGCGCGACGAATAGAAGGAATATATCTCGTCGTATGTTACACAACCTACACAATAGAGAATGCAATATGTAATGAATAAATATACGAATATGTATTTATTTCATTATAGGAATACATTATATTACCGCGCCGTTTCTAAAAAAAAAAAAAGCAAAAAAAAGGAGAGACTCATGAAGGATAGAGGATCGACGACCTATATTTATATTTATACAGTAAAGGCTCGCGGGCCCCGTTCCCCCTGTTGCGTTTATAAATCGAGCACGCGGCGAGGACGCACACGAGGACGCACCCTTTACGTAGGAAGCCATCCTTTTCCTAGCATCCACAGTCCACACAGGAAATCTCAGACGCACCCACCGAAACAAGCCCGCCCCCGTCGGCCGGAGCCGATTTAATGTTTCGTTTCCTCTACGACGATAAGGGGATACAATTTTATAGAAGCGTCGTTTTATAGTAGCCCCGTGCACGCAGTAAACTTGAAAAAATACAAGCGGTTACACTCGCGAGTCGACGCTATAATTAGATCTCGATTGAGGGCTACCATCCCTCTGGCTGACGAAAGAGGCCTTGAGGAACAAGTAAGGTGAGAAAGGTATCGAACGTAAAAATTATGAGGACGTAAAAATCGTAAAGACAAATTTATAAATGGATGTGCAGTCAAAATAGCGCTAAATATTTCTTTTTTATATATTTCATATTTTACTTTAAAGTATATATTTTAATATATGGGAAATATATATTATGTATATTTTTATTTCAGAAAATATTTTATTATGGAATATATATTTTATTATAATAAATCTATATAGATTTCACAAATATATCAAGATTTGAATCATTTTCAAAGAAACTTTATAGCGAAAAAAATTCATTTTTTTCTCAGATACAAATATCTATTTTTGAATAGAAAATTTTTGCTCACTTTAAGAAATATTTTATTTCGCGACTAGGTCTGTGGTTTAGCGCGGAAAACTTGCGGCGAGTTGGCCGACGAGGGTGGATAATGCGCGGGCACGAGATAGTAAATTTTATAAAATAATATCCTCCCATGCAACGCTGCATATTCATTTTTCCGGAGGGACTTCCCTACTGGGTCTCTCCCAGGAATAGGGGAGGAAGAAGAGGAGGAGGAGGAGGAGGGTTTCTCGCCACTGTCCGGTTCGAGCCGCGTACATATGTATGAGCTTCTGGTGGACGCGCCGGTCACGCCTCGATGAATCCGGGGCTTTCTGCCCTTTATTTTCACCGGCAACGCGCCCTTTCCTCTCGCGAATAAACATCGAGACCAATCCCGAAAGAAAGAAGAAAAAAGAGAGAAGAAAAAAATAACCGGATGATTAGCGCTTCCCATTTTCCTTCCGAGTGCCAGCTACATAACGATACGTGGCTTTTTATTACTCGAAGAAGAAACCGCTGGATATACGTCTCGGTACGCAGATGCATGAAGAAATCGCGCCTCCTTTACGCGTAACGAATGTCACTTTGAAATCGCACGTGACTCAAAAGAAAACACAACTATTCTCGAGGAAACTACAAGAAACTATGTTTACTTTCACCCGCAATGCCACGATTATATCGTTTCGTCGTGCAAAGAAACGCTCGAAGAACGTTTTTTAACGTCAAAAAACGAAAGAGGAGACGCGAGATGAATTTAATTAGACATTCTGACTCGCGTTTTTTTCAAAATTCCTTACAATACACCTCGTGATTCTACCGTGATATATATCGCGACACCTCAAGCGAAATTATTGTACGCTAACGTGACATTCTCGTCGTTAACAACGTCGACGAAACTGGCTCTTCCTCGACGTACGTCCAAGAAAAGCAACCCGCTCGCTCGCTTGCATTAAAGAGCAATTAGCCGCGGCTCGCGAGCACGCTGATGCCCGGAAGCGATAGAAGCGGGCCGCGCGTGCCACCCTTACCCTCCTCTTCTTCTTCCTCGTGCGCGTGTGTCTGTATGGCTTTGTACATATTCTTACACTTACCACTTGGTAACACGTTTCGCACTCGCAAACTCGCCTGACTCGAAGCACTCTAAGCCGGTATAACGACTTCCCTCTTTCTCGTTTCCACCGTCGCCGTTTTTTTCCCCGTCTTCATCGGCGAGGAATGCGTCTCTCTTTCTTTCTTCCTACACACAAGTAAAATCGTTAGTGAATTTTCTGGAGAGAGAGAGAGAGAGAGAGAGAAAAGATATCTTTTCGCAAAAGGAATCGTAAAATCACGACGCGTCATGATTTTACGATTTTAACCTTCTCGATATGCGCTGCGTAGCCACAATGGCCGAATATGATTATTTAGAATCCAAATTCAATGCAGTTCAATATCGTAAGAATTGGAGGCCATTAAAGGATTTAAATATTGAAAAAATCTAAGAAGTGCAGCACAGAGATAGTCTTACGTGTCCTTAATCCGACGCAATTTATCTTTCTTGCACGCGCTTCTGCCGCGCGTCTTCTCTCTACCTTCTTTCGCTTCTCTAGCGCCGTTCGCTCAATTACCGTCGCAGATAATCATTATCGCAGAAACTGTACCGTGCCTCATTGCCCTAATCCTTAATTAGCCGCCGACCAGACGATAATTAGTACGAACCAGTGTCGGATAGCCGATACGTTGGCGGGAACGAGGCAACTGTGATGCCAGAACAAGGCCCGGGCTCACATGCACACAATCAGAGAACTCCTTACATGCTGCGCAGAACGCTCTGCGCAGAGCGTTCTCCGCAGCATGTACGGGGTTCTCTGACTGTGTGCGTGTGACCCGGGGCTTCGTTCTGGCATCATAGCGAGGCAGTACTGTGAAGTTTGCCCTCAGTTTTATAGCGCCACCTTTCGCGCGCGGCAAATTCATTTGACGCTTGAATTTTATGTTTTCCAATAATTAACTTGTTCCAATAATATTTTTATTGCAATCTAGAAAGCTTTTCACGCGTTGCAGCCGCTCGATTATATTGATATCGTGTTTTTCTTTACAATGTCTCTTATGCAAAAGTGCCTCTCAATAAGAAATTGAATAGAAAAGATCTCATTTAAAAAATGGGACATTTTCAAAAATAAACTTAATATAAATTAATATATCAAATTATATGTCGTGCAATATAATTTACAAATGTCGAGTACACTCACAGATATGATATAAAATTATTTTAAATGAACAAATGTAAATGATTATATATATTCTTGTATTTCGCTTCAGTCCTTTCAGCTTAAAGGTAATGATGAAGCGAAGATTCGCAACGTGCACGTGCGTGCGCAGTTAATTGTAATTTATACCCTGTCAACTTAGAGACTTACATATATCACGCGCAGAAAGTAACTTCATTACGCAACTCTTTCGTGTTGGTTTCTGTAGCTTCAGATTAATTTTAAACGTTTACAATTAATCGTCTCGGCTTATTACCTCGAAATATGATTACCTCCTATGATTCGCGCAGGATTTTCTTTTTCTTTTATGAATATTTACATTCCTTTTGGATATACAATACCACAAGTACAACTCGCTCTCTTTCTCCGTCCTTTCTTTAAAGATCTAGCTCCGCAGAAACTTCCAAAAGATACCGTAGACGATACTTCGCGTCGTCGTACAGCAATCTTGCGGGCAACCGTCTTTTCTCTTTTTCGCCGCGAGTACAACAATTGTAAGACCGTAGGCCGCTAGCAACCAGGCTTTGTCTTGCGTCGGTACCGAATCGGTGAAAGAGAAAAAACAACGGCCGCGATCTACGTCCGTGGATATGGGTTTGCGTGCACGAGAGAGGGAAGACCCGACGATTATTCGAACAAGAGGCAAAGATAAAGAGTCGATGTCTCTCTCTTTCTCTTGTCTTCTCTCCCATAAAGCGAAGATGTATACGCGCCGCTGCTCCACTTTATGCTGATCGATTTGTGGTGATTTTATATCTTCGCCTGTCTATATAGCTCTATGTATCGGCAGGCCGCGGCGGACCGCTTCAAACGGGCCGCGATATTTTATATCTGTGGTATAAACGCAAAATTGAGCTTTACATATTCTGGACAGAAAGGGCTCAAAGTGCTCCAAAGTGCGCGCAAGAAATTTCTTTATGTTGTACATGAAATAGTCGATCACTTCGATCGGAATATTCTTTGTTAGTATCAATATCGCCGCTCTCTGTGGAATGAAAAATTCAATAATTATTCCCTCCCGATGTCGAAATCGGGAATTCGAGAAATTATGACATATGAATGCATTTTTTGTTATATATACATATATAATGGAATGTAATATTAATGGATATATATATTCCACGCACATTTTCATTTTATATATAAACAATAAAAAATACAATATGTGAATGTAGTATATAAATTTATTAGATTATGATATCGCATAAATACTATTACATTATATTATTTCGCTTATACGATTACACAACCCGTACTTCGAGAATATTTTTTATAGATCTTAATAGATCTGTTATATTTTAGTCATATAGCTTTTTTTATCTCTAGAAAATAAATGTTATATTATATCAAATAATCTCTCTCTTTGTAATAATTACACATTTAACATGTGAGTACACTTAGGAATTGCATATTTTTAAGGCTTATACTATGCGTTGCACATATATATATATTCTTCCACCAATCTTCCAATGAAACATAGATCTTGTGTTGTATATTAAAAAATTAAAACACAAGTTTCTCTTATTATCATATTCAGAGTGCACGTATTGAGAAATTTTTTTCTGCACTATAAATAATATATATAACAACTACCTCAGATAGGACATTTGGACTCGTAGGAATCTTCCGGATCTGTAGAGATATCTTCTGCTGTGAGAGCAAGAATTTCTTCACAGACGCGTTTATAGACCCATGCGTCACCTTTTAGTCTTTTTCGGCGAATGCCAACTAACCGTTTCCCATTTGGACCAATCTCCAAAAGGCAGACTTCAAGTTCAAAGGAACAGGAATTCTGAGAAGAAATTGATTTGGACGAATCTTTTTTATCTTCCGAAAATAATTCTTCAGTCTCCCCTTGCAGAATAAATCTATAACACATAACTTTTGATAATACAACTGCGTAGAAAAGTGTCAAGTGTTTAAAAAAAAAAAAATTGGAATTACCCTTTCTGATGGCACATTATACCCTTTCGCCGAAGTGCTCTTCGTAATTTCGAGAGGACATGCTTTGGACAACCGCTGCATGTCGCAGACACGTTAGATAGTCCCTTTGAAAATAAAAGAACATTTACCATCATTCACAATAAAGCAATTTCTTTTGACAATATTTTCATACGTTTATGACTATCAACTATACCTTTCCTGACAGTATGTTCGGTTCTTCAGGATCTATATTTTCATTCTTCACTCGCCTTTTTGGTGTAAGAACATATCTCACTCGATTAAATCCTCGTTCCAACCCCATCATAACTTTTCTTGCGCTACCGGGTGTAGATGTTTGTGAAGTTCTATAAAAACACATTATATATCTATATATATATAATATATATATATATATATATATATATATATATATATATATATATACATACATACATATATATATACATATATATATGTATATATATACACACACACATATATTATATATTATTCTCATATATATTAATTCACAAGTTTTTTCACCTGGTATCTAATATCGAACATTGTGTAGGAGTAGTAACTGATTTATTTTCAGGCGGTCTTTTTGCTGGAACTAGAATAAAATTATAAAAATCCCAAATATATATATATATCATAGGCATATAACTCCGATATTATTTGTATATTATTAACAAAGGATATGTATATATATAGGATTATATTATATGTACAAGTTTAATATACTTCCGAGCGAGGATTCAAATGTGGTGGTGCTTGAGGGATAGTATATCTTCTAAGAAGTTTTCAAGAAGGGATACACTGGAATTCTTAAGTTCAAATTGCGTTTATTAGCAAGTCGTTCCTCTTTTCGAGGTAATTATCTGCTTTTCGCGCGACTGCTGTAATTTATGGCGGTCGGAAACTTTCATTAAAGTTTTAATTAGGTGGTGTGTGCTAGCATCACCTAATTAGAAGTAAACTTTAGAAAACGTACTACGAGACTAATTACGGCTGCAACACGTTCGATAAACGTTTGTTGTATGTAAAATGTACATACTTTAAATAACGTTAAAAATTGACACATTAAAAATGTGAAAAAAATTTCTTTAAAGACTAAATAGGATAAGCCAAATTCATTGTAAAAATCTAAACCTAGTTTTTGATAAAAAAGACATGATACTAAAAATTAAGATGTTGCAATGGCAATGAAATACTTACCGGGCGATGATATATCATCAGGCTCTCTGCTTCGTAATCTTTTTCGTGTCGGTATACTTGGTTCTGTAAAATTATTTTTATCACTTCTTTTGGGCAGAACATCGTAAGTGACATCGACCACTGGAGATAATTTGTTATTTATTCTACTTCTTGGAGAATGATCGAGTTTGGTTATAAAATTATTGATTACTGCTTTGCGTTGTGGAAAACTGATATCGTTCTATAAAAGAATAAAATATGTATCAATTTAATGTATCAATTTCATATCAAAGAAAAATATTCAACATACCATATCCTGCTTAAGATGAGATTTTGTTACAGATGCTATTTTTAATGAAAGTCCACGTAATTTCCTGTCAAGCAATAACAAATATGTAGCTGTTCTATAATCAGTCCTATCACTCTTCATAAGTTTCTTCCATATGTCTGTATTATTTTCACCACAAATAGCGGACATAGTGCTCAATACTTCATCATCTTTTTCAAACTATATTTAGATAAAAATAAAACTTATAAAACATTTATACCTATTTATAAAATCAATTTTTTTGCATCCGAAAAGTTCTTACTTTTGTCCTATGAGTAAATACTACAGGTTTCAAAGAATTTAATGTAACCCATGGATGAAGACATAATTCATCAATAGTGATTCTTTTTACTGGATCGATTTGTAGCATTGACTTAATTAGTGCTTTACTATCATTAGAAAGCCAGTACGGTTCCTCATATTTGCCATTCTGGAATAATACAGTTTATTTACTTATGCAATAATGTCCAAATGACGAAATTGAAGAACTTACAAGTATTTTTTTATATAAATTTTCTAAATTATTGTCGTCAAAAGGCAAAAAGCCACATAATAAAGCATATAGAAGAACTCCCATGCTCCAAATGTCTACTTCTGAACCTGCAGAAGAAAGATTGTACATTAAGCATTAAATTACAATGAAATTTGTGTGAATAAAAACACTTTATAAGTTTATATACCTAAATATTTCTTCCCCATTATGAGCTCTGGTGCTGCATAGGTGGGAGAACCACAAGAAGTATATAAATGTGCTTGCATTCCCGTCTTGGGTTTTGCGCATAGTCCAAAGTCAATTAACTTTAAATTTTCTTCTTTATCCAATAAAACATTCTCCTATTAAAAAAGATAAGTCAATCTAATTCAAATAACAACTATTGTAAGAGACATAAAATATGCTTACAGGCTTTAAATCTCTATGAGCATATCCCAAACTGTGCATATATGCAACAGCAGAAACTATCTGGCAAAAGAACCTTCGAGAGTCAGCTTCCGACAATTTGTTTTTCTCAACTGCAACAAGATACAATACTGTTAAGACTTGTGAAGATAATAAAACACATTCTCCAGATTATTTAGAGATATATTACCTATATGATCAAATAGCTCTCCACCGGAACAATATTCTAATACCATGAAATAATGACTCTCTGTCTCTATCACTTGGTATAATCTACAGATATGTTGATGCAACAATGTCTTGAGTGCCTCCACTTCAAGCTTGACTCTTGGTAAATCTTCCTGAAATAAATATTGCAGGATGAGATTGTATTTTGATAAACAAAATAGAGGTAAAGAATTCTATAAAGATACTTGACACACGCAAGCAGAGAAGGAAATTGCGATAAAATTGACAGTGTCATTCTCTGCAGATAATGAAAATAATTTAGACATTTATAAAATCTCTTACTCCTAATGTCGTCTTCTCCATAATCTTAATGGCAACTTTTTCACCGGTAGCGACGTGAATCGCCAATTTAACTTTGGCGAAGCCGCCGCTACCGATCGTCTTCTCCAGATCGTACAATCCTTTAAGGGCGGCGTATCGTACCATCTTGAGGCCCGAGCACGTGAAATACGGATCATAAATATTGGAAATATATCCGGATCTCACCTCTCAACACCGTAACCGACCGCACACATTAACTTTTTTGAACCGCGATAAACAACTTTTCGCAGCCAATGGGGACCTCGCGTTGCCGGTTGCCGGCGCCCGTTGTCAGTAATGCAACATACGAACGCAGTATGTGCAATCCTCAAACGTCAAATAACTATGTCGTCACTTTTTCTAGCTGGTACAGTAGCGTCAACTAGATCCATTTTAAAGCCGACGGAACTACATAGCCAGATTCAATTTTCGGTGCCCTACGGTAAAACAACTGGTTGGTGTATGCTAAATCCATAATTGTGGATCAAAATGGCGGAGAAATATTATGAATTTATTAGTTTTATTAGCTATGCGTGATGTTTTGCCATTCTAGTATATATTACAGATAGCGATAATAAGTTAAAATTGAAGCATTGTTATGTATATGCGCACGTGACATAAAATAAATTTTTTTAAAATTAATTCTCCCAATAATTTTTTTCCTAATTCTTAAATATATAACATGTTATATAAGATATAGTTATAGTGTTATAGAAGATATTTACAATAAATTGCTTTTACTTTTTTCTTATTCTTGAAACAAAATTATCAAGCATTTTAAACAATATTAAATTATTATGCTTTAAATTTATATAGCTTTTTTTATAATTAATTATTAATTTATTATTAATTCTATTATTTAAGTAATTTTTTAATTTATAAATTCAGTTGGATGCACTAGTGCGCACTGATGCACATTAAAAGCTATTATATGTGTATAAATTTATATAAGCATAATTTATGTATAAGTACAGTAATTAAGATGATAAGATTATTAATACTATAAATCTTTTGAAAATAAACATAACAATAGATACGCTAACGCTATTTTCGCTTGAAGAACAAGATTCTTTGCCCTTATTTGTCCACCAAACGCTTCGGAGTAAAAATAGTGTCTATAATGGAGTGCATTTATTGAATATATAAAAACATTTATAAAATTTTTATATTTCTTATATTTTTGAATGCAACTTTATTTGATTAATAAAATTTCTTCAAATGAAATGACAAAAAAAACGCGACATTATTTGGATAAATTTTAATTAGATACAAATTTAAAAATCAGATAAAAAAATTATGTTCCTTATCTAAGTAAAAATTATTTGGATTATATCGTATTTGATGTCATTTTAATCGTAAAAATCTCATTAATCCATTAAAGTTATTCTCAAACCGGTAAAATGCAAGAGTCTTTCTCAAAGTAAGAATCGAAGTGACAGAAATCTAAGTTATAAATTATTGTTTTGTTGCGATCTTTACGGACAATAATTATTTCTTTAACAACAAATAGAATCAAATATATTTTGTTCACGGTGCCATATAATTTGACTTTTCGACGATCTAGATATAATTTGGATTAAGAACGTGCTATAAAATGATCGAATCGTAAAATCCATTAATTAACATAACGATAAGCTCCGTGATACATTAATC